CCTATACTTCTTTCATGCAATGAAACAACCAGTCAACCTACATTAGGTCAAAACCACTTTCTTTTTCCCCTTAACAAAAATACATCCTCATTTCCCATATCCTCCCTTATAAAACATTCCTTACTTTCCTCATTTACACAGTGATTCTTTTTCTAATTTAATTGCCATATATTAGCTATAATTTTAGTTCTTAGAAACTGTATGTCAGCACTCTGTAGAGTAACAGAATTTCCAGATAAATATTTCTTCAAAGTATAAAATTTTTTCATAAATAATGGACTAGGACCATCCAAAAACAAGATGCTAACATACATAAACTTTAAACTTATGATTAGCGATTCATGTTTAACTATTTTAACTTATTTAGAAAGGACCCGGTTATTCAATTATCTATTACTTCACTTTAAGGTTTCAAGTACCAAAACGATTTTTAAAACAATGAAGAGTTTGTTTATAAATCCCTGTCATTTTTATTTATTTATGTTGGTCAATTTTGACAATTACACTTGAATTGGTTATGAAAAGTGAAGCTAGACATATGAAAAAGGAAAACCAAAGTAAAAACCAACTTTGTTTCAAGGCCACTAATATAGCTGACACAGTCACCCTCCCTGAAGCCCTCTGCAGTCGTCCTGAACCTTGGCACCTACATGATGCCATGGCTGGTCTTTGACTTAAACCCAGGTGTAGAGCCCAGGATAGAGGAAAATATGAAAATAAAAGGAAAATTACGATGAAAGCAACACTGAAAGAGCTTTTTAAAATGATGTTATAGGGCTGGAATATGACTCAATGATATCACACTTACCTAGCATGGGGGAGGGGATTCAAAATGGAGTTGGGAGGCCATTGGAGAGTAGGACTTACATACCTGTGATTGGCTGAGATGCATACTTACAAGAGTCATTTATAGTATGTTTATACATCAAATTACGTTACAGTTTATTACATATGAAGAAAACTGTAGGCCAAACCTAAAATAAGCATAGAGGTAGCTGTAGGAAAACTTGATTCAACATGCCTTACCTTATTGAATTTCCCTTAAGCTTTCTTATTAATGTTGTGTTCTCTATGCACTTTCCTTTAGAACTTCCAACATGCAATGAAAAGTTTCAAGCATGTAATGCTTGAGACTGTACAATCTTAAACCTACATCCATTAGACAATTCACTAAAGACTATTACAATCTCTGAAGGACCTGATCCTTCTACTAATTTTCAATCTCTTCCAGATCAAACTGACCAAGCTGGCTGGTCCAGTAAGGTCCACATAAACCCTTACATCTCTACAAACCTGATTACCCAGACAGCTTTTTCAGCCCCTGAGGTCAAAGAAACCTGTATCTTACACAGAATAGCGCTTCCAAGCGTTCACGGAATGACCATTCCTAAACCTAAGTCTCTCAAATCAATGCTATTTCATTGTAGTTTCCTGTCTCTTCCTTCACATTCCCCTCATCCTCATGTCTACCAAATCCTAAAACCTTACTGGGTTTACAGATACATCCTGACAACCTTGGTTGCTTACAACAGCAAAGACCAATACAAAAATATTGGCATTTTACATTCATTGAAACTTTAATGTGAGGATTTTAATTATAAAATCATCATGGATCAGTAAAGCCATTCTGCAGTTTTAAAGCAAGAAGAACTGTTTTGGAAATGTAGCAATGAGGTGTTTAAAGCCAAAAGAGTAATGTGAAGAGGAAGCAGAAACACAAGTTTCAAACTATGGTTTGGCTGTGGTTTGTCCCCCAAAGTTACCTGTGTTGGAGCGTGATCCACAGTGTAGGACTATTAAGTGGTGGTGGAACTGTAAGAGCCTAGTGAAAGGAGGCATTCAGTCTTTGGCTTCCTGTCTTGCACGTAATCTCTTCTGTAAACGCTCCTGCCACAGAGATGCCATCCACCACGAGACTCTCACAGAGTTGAGCGGAAGTCAGCACCATGCTCTTGGACCTCCAGACCTGTGAGTTAAATAAGGCTTCCTTTCTTTACAAATTATCCTCACACCAGTATTTTGTTATAACAGTCCGAAGTCGAATAATTCATTGGGCTTGATGTAGACATTGCTCAAGTAGTAGAATACCTGCCTAGCAAGCTTGAGTACTGAATTCAAACTCCAGTACTTCAAAAAAAATTGCACACACCCTGGGCTAACTGTTCAGAACTGATTTTTTTTAATGAGTGAAAAAAACGAAAGGTTATACAATGACCATTTTTCTTGTACTCATTTATTTTTTTTCTTTTTAGCTAATATTTCACATTCTGCAGTGCTGTAACTGCAGCTACAACAAAAATGTAAAAGAAACATGAAGAGAAATCTGCTTTGGCTTTATATCTGCTCATTAATATTTTGCATCACTTCTAAGAAAAATGGGAAAGTTTCTGAAAAGAGCCCAGAAAAGTGAGATTTTCAGTAACATAACCCACTTAACGGAATGCCACATTGATGACAATGGTGAGCCCCAAACATTTTACTATATACACCCTCATTAAAATTTTTAGCACACTTCATGTATATATAAACACACAAAAATGTCTTATTAAAATGATGTACTCCATAAAACACATAAGATATACAAACTAAAAAAATTTTAAATGCTGAAATTAAAGACTGGGATCTTGGCTCAAGTCATAGAGCACTTGACTAGCAAATGGGAAGTTCTGGGTTCAAGTTCCAGTACTTCTGGGGAAGAGGGGGAGACACACACATACACACAGTCACAAATGGTGCAGAATGCCTGTAACCCAAACATTAAAGAGTCTGAGGCAGGAGGATCAAGAGTTCAAGTCTAGAATACACAGCAAGTTGAGGCCAGCCTGAGGTATGTAGTGTGACCCTATCTCAAAACAAAAATTAAAATACACACACACACACACACACAGAAGCTCTTTTTATTCGCTTTGGTTTTTGTTTTGCAGCACTGGGGTTTGAAGCCTTGGGCTTGCTGGACAGGTGCTCTACCATTTGAATCATGCCCCTAGACCAAGAAGTACTAGGTATTCATGCATGAAAATGGAACAATGAGACCTGTTGAAACTGGTCTCATTGGACCAGGAGGGGGAATAAAGAAGTAAGATGGAGAGGGTGAATCAAACTAAGACATATTGTAAGCACTTCTGTACAACTATAATATGCCAATAAAATTTAAAAATTTTAAATTAAAAATAAAGGTTTATTTGAGAACTTAAAAAAAACAGAAGCTCTACTTTTTTAATCCAAAAAGATTTTCCTATACTCTGGATAAATGATAAATTCTAGACTGGAATATTGAATTAGACCTTTCAAGTTATTTCAATAAAGTTAGAAGATTTAGAAGACATGGATCTTTGAAGTTGAATTTACTATTTCAAAACAATTCAAGTTTGTTTGAACTACTAAATATATTGCATATGTATGTTGAAGTGCTTTCCCTTGTCTGAATAGCAATTATGGAGAAAGACTGAATTTGTTTTTAATAGGTGATAAACTGGACCCAAGGTGGAGTTTATTGAATAGAATAATGAGACAAGAAATATTTAACTTCAAATGTAATAGTAGCTAATCATAATTATTATTAATATCAAGTAAAGAGGCTTTTCACAAGTATCACAAGTATGATAGACTACATAAATTTTTGAGACAGTGTCTGTCGCAGAAACTTGCTATGTAGACCAGGGCTGGCCTTGAATTTACCATCCTACTGCCACAGCCTCCTAAACTAGGATTACAGATGTGCATCACCACACCTGGCTCTTCTCACATCATTTCAACTAGACCTCTTAAAGAGAGTGCATTGTATCACATTAGTATTTCTCCTCACTGTAATTGCTTACGCATTTGGACAACTAGCCTTGTTTCTGAGTTGAACACATTTAGTGAGCCTGCTACCTGACATTTCTGTCTGTCCACCCACTGACTTTTTACAGTTAGGAGAGGAAGTCAGCAAAAGAACATGCTAACAAGGCTCTCAAAAGAGAATTCAGGACTTTGTTCTCATACAAGTGTTGGCTATCACCATAACACTTTTTCTATGCCAGACTCTAATCTTCTCTTACCTAACTCACAGACAATTTAGCTATCACAGATTGTAACAGAAGGGGATGAAATACGGGGAACGAGAGGAGAGGAGGTTGCCTTAGAAATGGAAGATCTGCTTGAGATTGTTTGTTCTCCAGAAGAAGTAAAAAGAAAAAAAAAATCTCCATAAAGTATTTTATCCGGGGAGGATCGGAACACCTTACAGACTATTATCTAGCTTCTGCCTAGACATGAATTTGGGCGGGAGGGGGGAGAAGAAAAAGGGAGGTAATAAGTATAATTTACCTCTACAGCTCTCTTCAATTCCAAGCCTGAGTCAAAATTGGAGCAAAGGATGGAACTCAACACATCAACATTCTGAGCCTTCTCCACCCTCTCCACCTCCAAAAAAAAAAAAAAAGGAAGAGAGGAATGGAGGAAGGAAAAAAAAAAAAAAGTCCTGATCTGAGAGTCTATTTCACTCTTCGTGTACGGGATGACCTAGTTCTACAAACAGAAAAACCCAGTACTGGGTGTGCCAATGAGAGCAAAAGTACTATTCCGGACTTGAGGCCCGCCCCACAGTAGCCAGATCAATGCATTTCCTCTTCTGACCTCAACGCAAACCAGCTGCTCCAAAATTGTTTTATAAATTCTGGAGGACTTCATATCTCTCTGTCCTTGCTCCTAAGTAAACTAACCGAGGAAAGCAGACCCGCTAGGGAAGGCGATTGAAAAAGTGGATCAGGCTCCGCGGCAGCGTTCCAGAGAGGCAGGTTACCCTGGGGCAGGCAAGCAGTCTCAGGTTTACTCTCCTTGACTGGGACACAGCTGGCCTTGAATAAGAACATTAAATATACCGCACTGCAGTTTGGTCTTGGGCTCGGCCTCAGGCTGGTGGCACCCGGCCATTCCAATGTCTCCGCCAACCGAGGCCTGGCCTTGGTTGCGGCGATTCCGGGAATGCCCATCCGCCCGCGGTCACTCATTCACACCTGTTAGGCGTTTCTCCACGCCGCGCCTGGGCGCAGCATGCACCCCCAGCACGGTCGGGCTGGCGCCGGGTGCAGAACGGGTGACAGGGGACAGAGAGGGGGGCCGGGCCTTCTGGAGTAGACCCCTGCAAACCTTGGCGCGGAAAACTTAGGCGAGGCGGGGCGAGGGGGGGCTGCGAAGGCGGGAGAGGTCGATAGGCGGAGAGGGTATGGGAAGGGCCAGGGGAAGAGCCGTCGCTGCTCTGGCGTTACGCCGCCAGAGCCTGCGGCAGAGGCGGCGGGGCCGAGCAGCGGAAGGGATGGGGCTTGTACCAGCCTCTGCCTTTCTCCTGGCAGCCCGGGCGTCGCCTCCCCTCGCCCGGCCGCGGCACCCTTTAGGCCGCGCAGGGTGAGCGCGGGCGCAGGCCGAGGGTACTGGAGAGGAGGGCGCAGCGGGGTCACAGCTTGGGGACTTCGCAAGCCGGGCGGCCCGCGCGTCTGCCGAGGGCACGAACTACCGCTCCGCGGGACCGCGGCCAGCACGGAGCGCCCTGCGCGCCCCCGGGGGGCCGGCAGCAGCCAGGAGGCTGCGCGGGGCTCGGCCGCTCTGCCCCACAGCTCCGCGCACACAGCGGCAGTGGCGCGGGCGCGGCGCCAGGATAGCTTCCGAGCTCATGGCTGGCAGCGACGTGGACAACGAAGGACGGGCGCGGAGGGTCGGCGCGGCGCGGCGTCCGGGGACTCTCGGCGGGTTGGGAAGCGAGGCGGCCGCCCGCTGCCCCAAGCCGCTGTCCACCGCTGAAGCGCTGGCCGAGGGCAGCGCGCTGCCCGCCTGGATGCGCCTCTACTTCTATGGGATGCATGGGATCACCTTGGATGTGCTGGTGTCCTCCGCGCGGCGCTTCACCCGCAAACCGGACCTCCAGATGCTAGGCTTCTCCTCGCCCTATCGCTGCCTCCTGCACTCGCTCACCCACTTCGCCCTGGAGAAGATCTACCTGCAGCAGCCGCGCTGTCCCAGCGCCTTCATCTTCAATTTCCTCCTCTACCCCTCGGCCCACGTGGGGCTGCAGACCCTGGCGGGCCAGGCGCTGCTGCTCAGCCTGGGCGGTGGCACAGGGGTCGCGGTGGCGCCGGGGGTGCTGGACCTGGCGCTACAGTACTTGCTGTCACTTTACCACTGCCAAGTGTTCCTGAAGCGCTTTCTGCGCCTGCGGTACCGGGAACACAGGCGCCAGAAGCACCAGCAGCCGCCGCCGCAGCAGCCGCAGGATGCGCTACCCGCCCCTACTGGCGTCCGGGCTCCTCCGGCGGCTAGCGGCAGACGACGATGGCCCAGCGGCCTCAGGGGCACCAGAGGAGCTCCTAGTCAGGGCCTGCCGGACCTGCTCCGCTTTCTTTTCTTCGGAATGCATGGCTTTCTGGATGAAATCTTCTTTACTTTCTTCTTTAATGTGCTGGGGCAGGGGGACGGGGCAAGCAGTGGCCACACATCGCTCTGGTCCTTTTTTATGTATGGCAGCTGCAGTTTCGTGGTGGAAAAGCTCTACTTCCACTTACACTACAGCCGTGGTTGGGGCACCTGGAAGCGGGTGCCCATCTACGTGATTTTCATCTATGCGTGGGAGCTGGCCTGGGGTCTGGGACTTCGCATGTGCGGGGCTTGTTCTTGGGACTATTCTCACTATCCGCTCAACTTCATGGGCCTCATCACCCTGATGTATCTACCTGGTTGGATATTTCTCAGTGTGTACCAGGACCTAATTTCCAACGTGCTGTGGCAGGTGCACTACGTGCCAACTAACTAAGACCAAAAAAAAAGAGAAAGTCATCGGAATCGCACGTGTGAATAGTTTTTTACACATTGAAATGGAGTGGTTTTGTTTTAAGTCTTTTTTTTTCCCTTTTTCTTTTATTATTCATATGTGCATACAAGGCTTGGTTCATTTCTTCCCCTGCCCCACCCCCTCCCTTACCACCCACTCCGCCCCCCCCTCCCCCCCAATACCCAGCAGAAACTATTTTGCCCTTATTTCTAATTTTGTTATAGAGAGAGTATAAGCAATAATAGGAAGGAACAAGGGTTTTTGCTGGTTGAGATAAGGATAGCTATACAGGGCATTGGCTCACATTGATTTCCTGTGCGTGGGTGTTACCTTCTAGGTTAATTCTTCTTGAACTAACCTTTTCTCTAGTTCCTGGTCCCCTTTTCCTATTGGCCTCAGTTGCTTTTAAGGTATCTGCTTTACTTTCTCTACCTTGAGGGCAACAAATGCTAGCTAGTTTTTTAGGTGTCTTACCTATCCTCACCCCTCCCTTGTGTGCTCTTGCTTTTAACATGTGCTCATAGTCCAATCCCATTGTTGTGTTTACCCTTGATCTAATGTCCACATATGAGGGCGAACATACGATTTTTGGTCTTTTGGGCCAGGCTAACCTCACTCAGAATGATGTTCTCCAATTCCATCGATTTACCAGCGAATGATAACATTTCGTTCTTCTTCATAGCTGCATAAAATTTAAGTCTTAATTTTTGTACAATTTACTAAACTCCTCCGACACGTTTAAATCAATTTAGTTTTTTTCTGACTACTTGGAACCTGTATATCAAATACTTTGAAATGCTACTCAAAAATATCTTAATCTAACTCATCAGTATTTTAAAACCTTTACAAGCTCAGAAAACAAATCCATTCTACTTTAGCATTGGAAAGCTGTAGGAGTCACCTATCTGGATTTACATGGAAGATAGTTATTAATTTTTCTCTTTTTAAATATCAAAATTCTTCAAATTAGAGAATGATTTTTATAAGATTTAGTGGAATTTTGTGATTTAATGACTTTCTTTTTTAATCCAATTTCATTTTAATTCCTTGCCATACTTACCAATGACGGCTGAAACTCCATGTCTCGTACTTATGAAATGCAGCTCACTGTTAAAGTGCCTCTGTCTAGCACACAAGTGAAAAGAAGCTGACAAATGTGCAAAAGTATCCTATGCATAGATTTTGAAATGAAAAATCCTTTTTAGCAATTCAAACAGGGTGACACTGTGTTAAGATATTTGATCACTATCCTGGAAATAATTAGTTGCTAATGTCAGTTAGCCTTAAACCCAAGTGTATTCACATAGATCAGATTCTTTGTTTATCTATGGCTGTAAAGTTTCCTTACTGTGCAATAATGTAACATGTTTACCCTACAAGTCCCAGGGTCAAGTGAAATTATACTACCCATTCAATAGCATTCTAATCCTAATGATTATTCTACATGGAGCTTCAAGCATAGGAAACAGTACCTTGGAATAAAATGAACCTGAACACTCAGTCTAATTCCATTAGGCCTAATTGTCTTCTATGATTGCAAATACATGTTTTCAGCCTATTTCTGCCATGGTTCACTTTTAACATTTCTCTTTCCTTCTGGGTCCAGAATTCTTGGACCAGGCCTGATGTGGTAATGCACCTTATAAATCAGAGATAGTTTTGAGTGACATGTTATTAATGTTTAGGAGCATCAAAGTTAAATGAGTTGATGGAAACCATTTTAAGAAATATCTAATTCACAATGTGCTTTGAGGATATTTGCTGTTTTTATTATATTTATAAAAATTAAGTAGATTGAGTATGGCTCAGCCAAGGATGACTAATACCTTCCCTTGGCTTTCATTACAAAGATAATTAGGAAAACTTAAAGTGTGTAATAATGAGTAGATCCCTATTCACATCATCCACTTGCCTGTGTTATGAAAAAGGACACTTCCCTGTTTTCAGAAAATGTTTGCTATGGTAATAGAAGAGAATATGTACTTAAATTTGATAAGGTCAAACATAGTTCTAAGAGTGTTATATTAATTTAATCCACTTACTGAAATCATGAGCTAACATAATAAATAATGTTACATATAATCAACTCCATCTGAAATGGATCATGTCAAACAGATTATTTTAGCCAGTCAAAAGTAAGTGAAGACGTAAAAGTAAGCTAGATCTTTACTGAGAATTTCACCTAAGAAAATTTCCTTATGACACTTGGTCACAGGTCAAAGATTTCTGAAAATCCTGGGGAGAAAAATGTATGAGCATAGACACGAAAGTTAGGCAGATGCTGGACAAAATATTTGTAATTACACATGAATCTGAGTTAAGTGTGGTATTATTCCACACCAAAATAACCAAATCCAGGACTTCTGAGATACTTGCTAAATGTACAGAATTGCACTTATGCCCTTTACATGCTGCTCTCAGCCCTGTTTACCTGCCTACCAGCATTCTCAGGGTCAGAAATCTGTCAAGAATTAGAAAAAGCATGCTGTTTTGTTTTGGTTTTAGTGTTAGTCCAATTAAAAGGAACAGTGAAGGTTTACATTCATCCAGTTCATTCAAGAAACAGTTGTTGAGGCTCCATTTTTGCTAGCCACATCTCTGGACTCTGTGCATACCACAGAGAATCAACAGGCAGAAATCTCTGTCCTTATGGGTATAACATTTTAGTGTTTTGATTTATCAGAGATTATACTTATTTTCAATCCTGCTATTTTAGTAATAGACTATGAAAGGCAGTGGTTATGAGTTTCTCATCAGTCTTGTCTCTAGAATATTAGTCTATCATCTCTAAACAAAAACCTATCAACAGTCCTTGTGCTGGTTCTACAAAAAGCTAGTTATGTATTCAGGAAATAATTAGCCCATCTATTAACTTGGCACCTTGCATTAGAGTTTCTCATTTTGTGTTTATTCAAGTTTTATTGCAGCCTTTGAAGGAAAAAAAAGAACCATGGGATCATTTAACTTTCAGGTATAGAGATGATAAGGCAATATATCGATAGTTAAGTGGCATTTACCACCTACTAAGAACTGCTTGAAAGTGATTCATGTATTGTATAGACATAATATACAATTAAGAGAATACGTATTCATATATACCTTAAGTAGATATGTATCTTGTATGTATATATAGTATATGTTTTAAATACATGTATATTTATGTATGTGTGCATTCACTTTATCTTCTAACAACCCTTTTTTTATAGATATAGCCCAAATAAATTATGTAACTGCCCAAGTCATAAAACTATTGAGCACATAGATGTGAATCCAAGTACATCAGACCCCAAGGTCTGTCAGTAACAGCAACACCACCTGCCTCAGTCCACTGGTCGCAGTGATTTTGTAATTATGGATTTCACTTCACAACCTGTAATGCTCTTCCTTTCCACTGTTACAGATGAAAGGTAGCTGTGTCAAAGCCAGACACTATTAGCAAAAGACTCTTTCATGTTGCCTTTTATTCCACAGTAAATAACAACAAAGCTAATAGCAAGATGTATAACTGACAATCAGTGCAGTTCTATTCCTCAGATGATATTTCTTTAAATTCAATCAGTGCACCTCCTTTAAAGTCAGATAATTTTCAGTATAAAAATATTAGAAAGCAGATTAAAATGCAGGGTAACTCTTATATAATTATTGCTGTACATTAAATACAATAAGTAAAACAAGTATCATGGTGAAAGATAAGCAAAGAAAAATTAAGAGTAAAATTTTTACAATGATATTTATTCTAAGTTCTACTAAATGTCTAAAAATGTTCTTAATAACTGAGAAGTATGGGAAAAATAACAAATGTAATTTTTTGTTCATGTTTTACATATACAATGCTGAAATTTCTTATTAGAAATACTTTAAATTTTAAATTGACTGTTGATTTCTCTGAAGAATCTAAAGAAATCTAAATGCTTTAAGTTTCTTGTGTTAATAATGAAAGCAGAATTTCCTATGTCATACAAGTTCTGTAATAAGATTGATAATCCATTTGAATATTTCAAACATGTCCATAATTCAGTATATTTAACTATGATCATTTCATTATAAATATTTGGCATTTCATGTTTCAAACAAAACATACAGCTTTAAAAACAGGACCTATCTCTTCTTGTTTAAGAAACAATAAACTAATTGGATAATCCTACCTTGTGAAAGGAAACGAAAGAATTTCTATCACTTTGAAAGAGTGTTCATCAGAGTGATAAACATGTTCTCTTTAAGGATGGTGAAGAATAATTTTTGGTAGACTGTTTTTGTTCTTCTACTTCCAAAATTCATTTAAAAAAATCAATATATCTGGAATGGAAGGTATATACTCCCGATACAGAGTAGTAAATGAGTCAATTGTATTGTAATTCTGAAAACATTTTAATAAAATCAGTTCTTCCTCATATTAAGACATTAAAGTCCTTCATCTTTTCAGTTAATTTTAAATATAGTATCTCCAACAGTGCTTACTTGAGCTAAGTCCTTTACATCCCTTCATCAAACACACACTTTATTTCATGCTGAAGTGAAAGGTGGCAGTAAAAAGTGGTTCTGTTATGCTGCCAGGTTTTTTTTTCCTTACTTTTAGGCATGGAACCAGAGGAAGGACAAAAGTAGTAATTGTCTTGTATGGACTTCTATTCACTAGACTTGGCCTCATTCTAATTTTTAACATTGAGGCAACAAGCCATTACACAGGCAATCACTTCGAGTTACTAGCAACCCAAATTTCAAATTAGCTTTTGAAGGAATTTTTTTCCTCTTAATAAAAAGAAAATATAAATTTATAGATTTTTTTCCATGGGTTTTAAATTCTTTTTAAAAATTGTCAAACATATAATTAAACCAAGGTAGTTGGGGAGAGAGTAGGATTGGTCTTTGACCTAAAGAAAGTTTAATTTTCTCTTACCTCGAACAAATCTAGAAAATAAAAGTAGCCGGCTTTCCCAACTAGAAAAAAAATGCATTCATTTTCCATGATTAAGAACAATTAAGGGTTTAAAGAAACTATGAAGGTTAACAACATTGAGC